GGAATATTTCCTGTTTGTGGCACTGTACCTGGCATATTACCTAGTAATTCACAATAGCATTAATGAAATGCTAGGACATTTTATTTAATTGGGTGTTTTATTTATTTATTTATTTATTTATTTATTTATTTATTGTATAATCATATACTCAACCTTAATCTGAGGATCCAGTCGTCAAGACAGAAACATAAATTGTCTGTTAATATGTATGGTTTTCAGAAAATTGTGATTGGTGTTGTCAATAGCTCATTGTTTGCATTATGTAATGTTGCATTTATTTTCTCCCACAGCTTCTGGCTCAGAAATTCAGGAGCAGCGTGGCTGGGCAGTTCTGACCAGGGTCTCTCATAAGGTTGCCATGTCTGAGGGCTGTGTGGTTTGAGGGCTTGACGGGGCTGGAGGCCCTGAGTCTGTGCTGTGGAGACACGCTCCGCGCCCTTGCTGTGTGGCACACCCTGCATCAGATCTTTCTCATAAGGAGGGGCTCTGTTCCATTTGGTTTTTCTGTATTTTATTCTTCTGGCTATTTAAAGCTCTCTGTTGAGCTTTGTGAAATATGCACTGTGGAAATTCCAGTCTTCACTTCTGATAGGTTAGGTGAGTCAGTGGTGAGGGGAACATGCCATTGTTTTGATGATCTTATTTTTGATGATCACTGTCTTCAGGTGACTTGCAAATAAATAGGGTGGCTTGCTATCACTGATTGCTTGTAAAATGACTATGTGGAAACCATTGCCAGCACTGGGCAAGTTAGGTCTTCTTCCTCTCTCTCTCTCTCTCTCTCTCTCTCTCTCTCTCTCTCACACACACACACACACACACACACACACACACACACACAGGATTTGAAGACAGACTATAGTTGAACAAAGTAGTTTCTAAAAATCACAGTCTAAAATTACAAATCTAAACAAGGGGTTTGCAACGACGATAAAATTCACATTGTATGTAAAATGTAGTCTCTAAAGTGAAATTGTTCGGAATCATAAAAACCTTGAATTTACTCCTTGTCCAGAGTTTGCTAGGTGAGCCTGCCTTATAAGAATTCTCCTGACATAGTGTATGCAGTTTACCTTTCACAATGTATGTTTTTAACATTTAAAACAATTTACTAGCCATCTATTTGATGCAGAGAAGCATGAATAAAAATATAAATATCACCTGTAACCTTATTGCCAAAATAACTTTATTTGTATAATGACACCTTGAAAGGACATTGAGACAGATCCAAAATACACAGTTAACTCTCAAAGCCTCCTTTCTTCTGTGTCTTGAATGTGGTCAGTTAAATTTTCATCTCCCTTTAGAAAAATAAAAGATCTTTTATGAACTTAGCCTTCGCAGGAGCCCTGAACACGTTTTAGAAGTTCACACAAAAAGAGGTCCTATCATGTACACTATTCTCACCTGAGGTTATTGATTTCTAAACTTATCTTTATTGTTGAGAGTATTACAAATGTTCTCTCCCCTTTTTCTTTCCTTGACCCTCTCCACCCATACCCGCCCCTCCCAGGCCTTCACCACAGTATTGTCTGTGTCCATGGGTTATGCATATATGCATATAAATTCCTCAGTTAATCTCTCTCCACCACCCCCCACCCCCCGCAACCCTTCCTTCCCTCTGAGATTCATCAGTTTGTTCCATTTTTTTTTTTTATATCTATGGATCTATTTTGATCATCAGTTTATTTTGGTCAATAGATTCTACATATGAGTCAGATCATGTGATAGTTGTCTTTTTTTAACTTGCTTATTTCGCTTAGCATAATTTCCTCCATGTCCCTCCATGTTCTCTCAAATGGTAAGAGATCCTTATTTTTTACAGCTGCATAGTATTCGATGATGTACCACAGCTTTTTTATCCAATCACCTACTAATGGGCACTTGTGCTGTTTGCATATCTTAGCTATTGGAAATAGCACAGCTATGAACATAGGGGTGCATATGTTCTTTCTGATTGGTTTTTGGGTTTCTTAGGATATATTCCTGGAAGTGGGATCATTGGGTCAAATGGGAGTTCCATTTTTAATTTGTTGAGGAAACTTGGTAATGTTTTCCACAGTGGCTGCACCAGTCTGCATTCCCATCAGCACTGTACTAGGCTTCTCTTTTCTCCACTTCCTTGCAAAGAATGCAAACACTTGTCCTTTGTTGATTTGTTGATGGTAGCCATTCTGACAGGGGTGAGGTGATACATTGTTGTTGTTTTAATTTGCATCCTTGGATGATTAGTGACTTTGAGTATTTTTTCATATGTCTCTTGGCTGTCTGTAAGTCCGCTCTGGAGAAGTGGCTATTTAGGTCCTTTGCCCATTTTTAAACCGGGTTGTATGTCTTCCTTTTGTTAAGTTGTATAAGTTCCTTATATATTTTGTCAATTAACCCTTTATCAGATGTGTCATTGGCAAAGATGTTTTTCCTTTTCATTTTGTTGACCTAACATTATCCGGCAAAGGTCTTTTCACTTCATCGCCTGCATTCCAGCCTCGTTCCTGTTGGGGGCGACGCAGAGTCCCACAGCGTAAACGCAGCCAGTCATCTCTTGATGTATATTTGGGTTATTCTCAGGCTTTTGCGATTACAGATCTTTATTTAGATCTCTTGACATACTTTTGATGTCCCTAAAGGGAATTCCTTGGGATGGAATTCTTGAGCCCACTTTCGTATTCTGTGCTTTCACATCAACATAATTCAGCCTCAGATCTGGCAGCACCAGCCTAGAATGATACTTAACCACACGAAAGGCAGCTCTCGTCTTTGAGGTTTTCCTGGGACCTTAGGTAATTTCCCGGCTTGAATATGGAAGTCAGACAACAAGCTCAAAGCTCACATGTCTCCTCGGTTTAGAGGAAGTTGAGTGCTGACGAGGTAGGGGATACTGAAATGGTTCAGGAGTGTTTCATTCATCCAACACATGCTTGCCAGGGTTTTGTACATGTCAGGCGCTGGAGGACAAAGTTAAAAAGATGCACTCACCTTCCAGGGAGCGGTGGTTTGTGCGAGGCAGTCCAATGAGGGCACCAGGACATGGGTGCAAAGGGGCTTGAATCAAGACCTGCAGGAGGGCCGAAACCAGTTTGGCTCAGTGGATAGAGCGTCGGCCTGCGGACTGAAAGGTCCCAGGTTCAAGGGCATGTATCTTGGTTGCAGGCACATCCCCAGTAGGGGTGGTGCAAGAGGCAGCTGATTGATGTTTCTCTCTCATCGATGTTTCTAACTCTCTATCCCTCTCTCTTCCTCTCTGTAAAAAATCAATAAAATATATTTAAAAAAAAAAGAAAAAAAGACCTGCACGGGGGTCAGACCCTATGATAAAGGCCGTGCGGTGGGAGGAAGGGCATTCTAGGTAGAGGCCACTGCCCATGTGGAGACTTGGAGGCATGGAAAACTGACTGCGATTGGCCCTGGGGAGAGTCCAGACCATGGAGGTGTATGTGGCCATGTTGGAATCCCAGATCAAATCCCAGTCCTGGGTTTACTCTCCTCTCATGGCGCTTAGTCACAGGTGAGACTATTGAAACTACGCCTAACACATAGTATCCAATACGTTGTGCTCGTGCGAATGGGAACACACGGCTGCCTTTCAGAAACACAGGGCCTGTCTTTGGAGCACTAGAGTCCCCGAAGCCGCATACAGGGTTCCCCGCCCTGTCCGTAGTGTTATCATGGAGAAAGATATGCTACGGACATGGATTTTTCAAGTAACTGAAGTTTATTCTCTTGGTTACGAACTTTAAAAACATTACATGACGAACGATGGCATTTTTCGCACATCTGAACATGGTGATATCCTTTCCGTTCTGAATGATCAGGACTAATTGCTCTGTTCTGTGCCATCTGCCTATGGGTTTGCGTGTGCTTCTTGGTGCCTCCGTCTCTTCCCTTGGCTGTCTGTCAGCTTCCGCTTCTTCTGCCCACCTCCCTTCCTCTCCGCTCCACAGTCATGTACATGGCTGTTATAAAACCGTAGGTCCTAATGAGAAAGCTATTCATGTAAACATCATGTTTGCTTACTTGCTCTTCATTGTGAGTTAAAATCAGGCATGTTCCTTATAAATAAAGCTCAGTTTAAAGAATGCTAACTGTACAGAAACAGAGAGTGTAAAAAAAATGAAAATAGTTCTTCCAAAGTATTCCTTCGACACCTACCCTGTATGAATCAGGGCTCTCCAGAGAAACAACCAATAGAGTGTGTGTGTGTGTGTGTGTGTGTGTGTGTATCTCTAACTCTGTATGTCTATAGATATCTATAGATACACACAGGCACAGATTTATTTTAAGGAACCGGTTTATGCGATGGTGGCAGCTTAGCAAGTGCAAAGTCTTCAGGGTGGGCTAGCAGGCTGGAGACCCAGGGAGAGGAGCAGCTCAAGCCCAGAGGCAGAATTCCTTCCCACGCTGCTCTCTTCAGGTCGTCAGCTGATTGGTTGCAGGTTCATCCTCAGCACAGAGAACAGCCTGCTTTAGTCAGCATCTTCTGATTTAAACGTTAATCTTATCTCCCAAGTACCTTCGCAGAAACAAAGCCCAGCGTTCCGGCCTGGCCTCCCAGGGCCTGTTGCTCGCTCTGCTCCAGGGCGTCCTGGCTGGTCCCTGGGAGGGCCCGGCGTGTCCTCTGCCTGGGCCTTTCCCTCATGCCCCTTGGCTTGTCCCCTCACCTCCTTCTTACCCTCCCAGTGTCTCCTCGGTGGGTCCACCCAGCACCCTGTTTAAGACGGAACTGTGCCCCCTGCACTCAGCCACTTCCCGTGGCCCAGTGGACCTTCTAACACGCTGTCCCTTACATGTTAGGCCTACAGTTTATGTCGGGGTGAGTCCTCGCCCTCCCCCGTGAAGGCAGGGATCTGGGTTCTCTGGCGTTGCCCAGGCAGGGTGCCTCACGCGTAGTCCCTGCTCAATGAACACCTGAGGATGACCCGATGGGGTCCTCCTTGTTCCCCTGCTGCTGGCTCAGCCCCTTGGGCTCGGCGCCTCTGACCCGCTTCCCTCTCTGTTTCCAGACCAGCCTCATTGTCGCCTGCTACCACGGCTTTGTGGACGCTGTGGTGGTCTTGGCAGCGTGCCCCCATGTTGACGTCAACTGGCAGGACAGCGAGGGGAACACGGCCCTAATCACAGCTGCGCAGGCAGGTAAGACCCTCCTCTCCTTCCCCTCAGAGTCCAGGCCTGAGAGCAGCTGCCAGTGTGTGTGTGTGTGTGTGTGTGTGTCCCTGGGCATGCCCTCAGCTCCAGACATGAATGTAAGGAGGAAACCTGAGCAGGAATCCTGTCCTACTGCTCAGAGGTACAAGACAGGGCGGTGGGTGTGGGGCACACCTTCTGTGCACCTGGGACCGTGCAGTTTACCCAGCACCGGGCAGAGCGAACCCTGAGACACCCCCAAAGCTTTGGGGACTGAAGCTGCACTGCAAGCCCAACCTGGTGGTCACCTCACCTGGAGCATCGCACCCCACCCCGTCGGAGACCCGGGCTCAGAAAGGTTCTGGGAACTCACTAGCGGAAGAGACACACCCGGGCTAGCGATGGTGTGAAAGTAGACATGAGCCCAAGGCCGCCTTGCCCTCGGCCTGGACATGGAGAGCCGGTAGCTACCTGCTGGCGTGTGTGAGGGTCACGAGGCTGGGCCGTGGGTGAGACACCAGGTGAGTGTGTGCCTCCCAGTGAGTGTCCTTCTGCCAGGCTCCTCTCCAGAGGAGTCCCGTGCCCACAGCGCCGGGCGCTCCCTGGCTCTCCGCTCCCAAGATTGCACGCAGGCCTTTGAGACAAACATGACAGCTATGCAGGTCGCCTCAGGGCCGCACTTGGCTTGTAACTGCGGTCTTGACCGGTTTGGCAACTGACCGCTTTCAGAATGCGGGGCTCCCAGGATGACAGCGTTGCATCACGCAGGTTCTCAGTTGCAAAGGAGCGCTTCCGGCTGAGCTGGAAGGACCAGGTGTGGGCGCCTCGGGCTGGAGGGAGTTTGTTGGGAATCCGCCCCGTCAGGGCCCAGAAGCTGGAGAAAAAGCCCCGGACCACACCGCATGTTGGTTATGGAAAGTATGGGAAACATCTGCCGCTGCCCCCTGAGAGGCCTACCTGCCTGTCCTGGCTTGCACCACCAGCTGGTGTCTGAGCAGGAAGCGCCGGAGGCTGGAGAAGCCAGTGTCTGCAATGTCACTCTCCCCCCACCCCACCCCCATGGCAGGAAGCGCCCTGTGCCCATGCCAGCCAGGATGTGGGAGGCGGAGAAGGCCTTGACTTACAGAGGGGTCAGGCTGTGCTCGAACACGGTTGTTTCCCAGGTCTCAGGGGGTGAAACCTTTCCACCACAGAAACAGGGCTGCCCGGCTTTGAAGGCCCAGCTGCACAACTCCCTGAGTTGGGATCGGGCAGATGGATATGCTGACGGGCAGTGACCAGGGGCTCCTCATTCAGCACCTCCCACTGGCCAGGAGCTGGGTCGGAGTCAGGGCATTTCTGCTCTTGGGTAATTCTCCAGTTAATGGCCCATCTGATGGAGCTCTGACAGAGGAGCCTGGATGCCCTGCGGTGAGAACACCCATTTGCCTGCTGGTTCAGGACAGGGGTGGTGAAGGAGGGAGTTTGAGCTGAGTGGTGAAGTCCGAGGCAAGCTGGTCCAGCCATTGCATCCAAAGCCACAGGGCCCAGAGAGGGCCTGGTGTGTCTTAGCAATGGCAGGTTAGCGTGGCTGTAGGCTGCTGTGACTGGGACAGCTGAGGAGTGCAGAGACAATGAGAGGCAATGCATGTGAGTGGCATGAGTCTGGGTGTGTGGTGACGGGGCCAGATGACCCTGGTGGGCCCAGAGGCGGTTTCAGAGGCAGAAAGCTCGGGTCCCGGTGGCTGTGCTGGGGGCGATGGAGGACAGGTCAGGTCTGCCACGCGCTTTCAGCCTCTGGGCCGCGGGCGCTGCTGACTGCGGAGGGGTACGGCACCAGGATGGGCTCCCCGTGCTCGGGCCTTCGAAGGGCTGAGGCAGCGAAGTAAGAGGTCTCCGATGGATGGTGGGTGGTGATGTGGGACGTTCCGGTGAGTTCACAGGTGACACTGAAGCTGCTGGCCTGGGGACCCCTCTTTAGAGGTTCTCTTTATTTTTTATTTATTTATTTATTTATCTATTTATTTATTTATTTAAAATATATTTTATTGATTTTGTACAGAGAGGAAGGGAGAGAGATAGAGAGTTAGAAACATCGATGAGAGAGAGTCATCGATCAGCCGCCTCTTGCACACCCCTCTGCTGGGGATATGCCCGCAACCAAGGTACATGCCCTTGACCGGAATCGAACCCGGGACCCTTCAGTCCCCAAGCCGATGCTCTATCCATTGAGCCAAACCGGTTTCGGCAGAGGTTCTCATTTTAAATGGTGGCTGGGGCAGCCTTTCGGAGGACATTAAAGCTGGGGGCCCAGGGGTCACAGACCTGCAAGAGATGCCAGAGGCACACAGAGCCATCACTAAGCAAAGTGAGAAGAAAGGAAGGCAGCTGAGGGGCTGCTCTTGGCGTTCGGTGCTATAGCACCAGAGTCTGTTTAGGCTTTCGCTGCCAGCGCCAGGCGATGTCCCATTGTCAGCCAGTTCCATAACCAGGAGTACTTATTTGGTGATTTCCGGTTTGATTCCTGGTCAGGGAAGGCCTGGGGTCTCAGGGCTTGGCTGTATTTCAGAAGATGTCTAGTAATAGGTGATTACAATAAAAAATTATTATTAAACAAAAAAGACCTTTTTTCCTTCTCCCAAATGCTCCATCTCCCAAATGGACCAAGCTCCAGCTCCTTGCTCTTTCAGATTTCTCCTTTTCCAACATATGGCCTGCGGCCACTCTTATTTAAATGAGGAGGCTAAGACAGTTGAGATAGTGGTTTTAACTTTTTTCACTTTCTAGACCTATATCTTTTCTACCGACACGCACCGGATTATCTTGTTCTGACAGGCACATTCCTGAGTGTGACTGTATGTTCCTGGCTGTGTCCCCGGTGTCCAATGTCTGGGAGACAGTTCAGTAAACAGTGTCTCACCCGTTCTGTACAAGATATAAAACACTTACTGCTATAAAACAAACACGTATTTAGCAATTCCTTCATGTACACCGGCTGTGCTGCGTGCTGGGTCTACCACAATGAACAGAAGCCACCTACTCCTGCCTCCCCAAGTCAAGTTCATGCGGGGGAAGGGAAGGCATTTGTGTCTGGGGTTGGGGTGCATTTCTGAGGAGGATGTATCTGGCAGGGTCCTGGCTGGGATCAGGTGGAGCAGCAGGCATGCTCAGAGGGTAAACTGAGGAGCTCGTCAGGGGGCTGTTATTGGGGGCAGGGCAGAATGAATGGACAGGGCCCTGGAGAGAGTTACCCTGGCAGAGGGCTTGGCTGCCTTCCAGGCACTGTAACCTGAGCAGGCCCCTGGGAAAGAGGCGGGTGGGGGGGCTGGGGTAAGTACCCCACTCCGTTTCCTCCATCCGGGTCCCCGTGCTGAGCCACACTGGAGACTTTAGGGCAAAAGAGCCGGGCAGATTCAGGAGATTATCTTCCCTGCAAAGCAGGGCAGAGGAGGAAAGAGAAGTGCCTGGATAGCTTCTTAGAGCTTATCAGAGGGCATGTACATTTAATTTTTTTCTTTTTAAATATATATATTTTTTATTTCAGAGAGAGTGGAAGGAGGAGTGAGAGAGAGAAACATCGATGAGAGAGAAACATTGGTGGGCTGCCTCCTGCACACCCCCTACTGAGAGAGTGGAAGGGGGAGTGAGAGAGAGAGAGAGAGAAACATCGATGAGAGAGAAACATTGGTGGGCTGCCTCCTGCACACCCCCTAACTGGGGATTGAGCCTACATGTGCCCTGACCAGGAATCAACCGGTGACCTGCACTCAATCCACTGAGCCACACCGGCATGGGACAGCACTCAATCCACTGAGCCACACCCGCTGGTGGCATGTACATTAGTGTGGCTGCTGCTAGCTGGCCTTTAGAGAAAACTGTACCAATTCATGTTTCCCAGCGAGTTCCCAAAGGCGTTCGTGCCAACTGTGGGCAGGATCACTTGTCAGTGTTTGCCGATGATTGCTGGCAGTTGTGTTTGCCGATTCTCATCGGAGCCTGGTCTCTGTTGTGACGTCTCAGGTGCAGATGGCGGAGTACCCAGTGAAGTGGCTTCCACAATGAGGAAACTGCCCTCTCTTGCAACATGACCGTCTGAAAGCGGTGGCCGGAGGGTGGTTTCATCGGGTGGCTCTGTGATGTCAGGACCCGGGGCCAGCTTCTCAGAAACGCTCTTGACCTTTCCCTCCAGAAGGACCTGGCATGGCTTCCTGTTGCCACACGCAGAGGCCTCACAAAGGAGGAGCAGATCCCTGTCCTGTTTCGTTCTCTAAGATGAAAAACCATTTCCAGAAGCTTCCGGCAGTTTCGTTGACATTCATGGCCGGGTCACGTGGCCAGTGCCACAACAACTGGCTGGCAGGGGAGGTGGAATGACCTCAGTTGACTTGGTCTAGCCAGCGCCGGCCCCAGCAGAATCTGTGTGGCTAAGGAAAACTTTCAACAACCACATGCTAATGTTATTTGCTACAGCAATTGTGTTGGATGTCTGGGAGTTGGCAGCCCTGGCTTCCTGCAGGACTCACTCAGCGTCTGTGAGAATAAATTAGGATGCAAATGCTGTGATCTGCCTGCCGGGCATTCTCTCTGGTCTAACCTCCATGGCTACATAAATGACAATAAAAATACAGCCAAGTCTCCATTAGGCTTTGCAATGGGGAGGAGAATGTTTGACAGTAAATCCTCAAATAATCCCTGAATCTCATTATCCAGTAATTTCCATTTTTACCATACCTCCCCTCGCAAAAATACAATATAAAATCAGACAAGCAAAGAAATGCATAGTAAGTCCCAGGGATGGAATTATGTGTTTCTCGTTCCTCCTTAGCAAATGGCAGGAGTAAGGTGCAGTGAGCAAGCCGAGGGCTCTCTTTGAACTGGTGATAATACAGAGTCGGTTGGGTAGAAGGAAACTTTGATGCATCCTTGAAACTTGTTGTTTCTTGAACTTACTTTAAAGTTTCAGAAGGAAATGTCCCGACACCCGGCCAGCCTGTTCCCATTACTCCCTCCTGCTGCTGGGGACCCCGTGG